CGCCGCGCCGGGCCGAACCCCCCCCCCCCCCGCCGCCCCGTCCCCGCCCCTCACCTGGCCAAACAGCTCAAAGGGCACCATCTTGCCCTCCGCCAGGCTGGCGCTGAACTCTGCCGGGAACCAATGGTCCTTGAGCTGCTCCGGCAGGGTAAGGCTGCTGGCCAGCCCGTCGTCCCGCCCGCGCCGCTGCCGCTGCTGCTGCGCCCGCCGCGGCGCCTGCTGCGTGTGCGCCGGCGCCGGCGTGCTAGTGGCGGTCTGCGTGGAGGCCGCGGCGGTGGCGGCCGCCGAGGCCGCCGCGCCGCCCGCGCTGCGCGCGGCGGGGGGCGCCTCGGCGGCCCCGCCAAACGCCTGCCGCACGCTGCCCTCCAGCCGCGTCAGGTGCTGCACCGTGTCCTGCAGGCGCCCCTCTGAGCGGTGGATCTGGGTGTGCGCCGCCGCCAGCTCTCGCTGCATCCCCGCTATCTGCTCCTCCAGATGCCGCTGCATCTGCTCCCCGGCGATGGGGTTCAGCACCGCCACCACCTGCACAGGCGCGGCAGGGGGGCGGCAGACGACGGTTCGGCGCACACGCCGGCACAGGCACCGCGCAGCACCCGCCGCACAGAATGCGGCGGCGATGCACCGATGCCCGGCCGTGGAATGCCACGGCTACGTCGACAGCCGCAGGTTCGCGCGCAGCGGCAGGCGGCCAGGCCAGCATTGACGCGTGGTGTGCTGCTGCTGCGCTGGCACAGCTGGCACAGGCATCACCCCGAAAAAGCCAGGCCTGTCGCCGCACCTCATCGTGCGCCTCCACATGCGCCTTTGCCACCGCCTCCAGCGGGGTCAGCAGGTCCAGCCCCGTGCGGTGCTCCAGGAAAGAAATGTCGCTGCGCATGACGTCCAGGGGCGTGGCCCGGCCCGCCGCCTGCTCGCTGCTGCGGGCGCGGCAGCGCGGCTGCGGGCGGCGGCGCTGCTGCTGGAGATGGGGGGCGGGAGGGGGCGCCCTGGGGCTGCGAAGCTGCAGGCCGCCGGCGCTGGCCATGGCCGCTTCCGCCATGCTGGGAAACCGCCTGGAGGCGCGGCGGCGGCGGAGGGGCTCGACACGCGCTGGCCCTCCCCGCTCGAATGGCTGGGCGTCTAGACTGCCCAGCGCCCGCCTGACGCTCCTCAGTGGATCCAAGCGAGCCGCAGACGGGTGTGTGGGCGCCTGGGGTGCTGCGGGCCCCTGTTTTGGCCGGCAGGCGACCGATCCGCTCCAGATGAGGGTGAGCTGGCGCGGGTCTTGGGAAATGTGGGGTTCGCGGCTCGGGGCGTTCAGATCTTCTCAAACTAAGCTCCTACAGCACCCAGGCAATCTTCCAAGGCCGCATGGCCGCTGCCCCTCTGCAGAAGCACGCGCAAGTCGGCGGCTGCGCGCGTGCGCAGGGTCTGTGCTGGAAGTTTGGGCGGCACTGGGGCACAGGGCCGCCACCGGATCAAACCGCCGGCGCCGCGCCTCAAAGGCGGCAGCAGCAGCGGCGGCGGTGTGCCGCCATGGCGGTACAACAGCAGGTGCCGGCGGAGCAGCAGCAGCAGCAGCAGCGGCACGTGGTGCAGCTCAAGGCCGTGGACATCACGGAAGAGAACTTCAAGCCCTTTGGCCAGGTCAGGCTGCTGCCCCAGGTGTTTGCCGCCCAGCCGCTTGTGTGCCGCCG